ATAAATAGTTTAGGTTCTCGCAGTTTTTTCCGAACATTTTCTGAAATTCAGTTTCCAAAACCTATTATTACTTATATTCTTGAGTTTTATAAGAGAAATTGTACCTTGATGATTGATTACGTACTTTAAATATAGTATAGTTTTAAGATTTTTCTTTCTATCTGTAACGTAAGACGATATTACTTGCCAAACTTCAAAGTTATAGGTCAACAGGAAGTCCCCAATTAATTTTGATTCCCTTGAGAGTATGGAAATATACGTTTTTTGCGGCATAAACGGCCGTCTATTTTTATATTTTTAACGTTAATTTAGGAGCTTGATTATTTTACAGCTTTAAGGGACTGCAGACCTCAGTGGTATGTTTGAATTTGAATTTTCGCATGTACATGTACATTTTTTGACGCATGTACATTTGAATTGTTGGTTTGGTTTTAATTTTAACTTGATAGCTCCAAGCGCTCCCGAGATAGAGGGTCTTGACTTGACAGATAGACAAACAACAAAGTGATTCTATAATGTTGCCGTTTTTATTCCTTTTGTGGTACGGAACCATTAAATTCAAGGCAAGCTTTTTCTTGTTCGTTTCCGTTTACTTTCCATCACAACATAAATGCGGAAAGATTGTACAAATATATGCGTCATAATTCTCTGAATATAAGTATACATATAAAAATTACATATATGCCTACCTAGGGTTTGCGTATGCACCATAGTATTAAATATAACTAAATATAAACTAACCGTTTAATTAGTTTAATTGTTCGTGTAGTGACGGATTAAGAATACGGAATGTCACTACCCCAATTCATCCCGTGGGTGTCGTAAGAGCCGACTAAGGGCGCAAAACAACGCAGGACACCAGCACTGCAAAAAGACGGAAAACTTGACACAAACCCTATACCAACCCGCCTGGCCAGCGTGGTATAGTAGGCCAAAACCTTCTTTTTAAGGAGAGGCCTATGTCCAGCAGTGGACTATTAAAGGCTGTTGATGTGTGATGTGTGATGATAAACTAACAAAGAACCAGAACGAAGAACACATAATATTGTACTCATGTCAAAATGCTTTACTGGTCTTTTTATCAGTCTAGGTTCATTCCGAATTAATATCAAGAGTAAATATGTCTAAATATTTTCATGTTCTTTCTTCGTTCGTTTTGAAAAATTGCTACAAAAAATTTTTGGCCTAGTGGTTAGTGACCCTGACTGCTAAACCGGAGGTAGTTGGTACGATTCCCATCCAGGCCAAATAATTATATGATGAGCATGATCATTTGTTCATGCCTGGGTGTAATTTATCTAATATATTTATATATTTAGAAATAAATAAATATGTTTATCATCAGTCTGGATCAGACAGCCGTGTGTGAAAGGTGTCAACCTATTATTTTTAAAAGAAAAAAATACTAGTAACTAGTTTACTAACTACTACTACTACTACTACTATTACTAATAACTAATAATAGATCAGTTCGATTAACATAGATGAGTTATGTTTAGAAAGAAAATTGAATTGACTGACTGCACAGATGGCACGTTGCGGCTTCGATCCGCACATGGGACAACACTGTATGATCCAAACAAATTATTTTTCTGAGTCGGGGTGTTCTTTGTGTCCATTTCATATGTACAGACTCCCGAGACATAGGATATATTCCTAGTGCGGGAGTTATCTTTAATAATAATAAATAAACATTAATTCATAAATAGATTTTTGATTAGCCGTCGTTAACATTAAAGAATGTGTATTTATCATTAATTATTTAAAATGTTTACAGAAACAGGTTTTGGTAATTAGATGGACAGATAATTGAATTTGAAGTTGAATTTTATCGTTGATTTGTTCGATACTTACGATAAGTATTGAACGAATTAACATTCGAACAATGATAAACTCTCCACATTCAAACCATGATTATCGGTAGGTACAACCCTCGTCCTTCCCATATTCCTGTACGGTGTCGAAACGTGAAAGCTGCCGACCGCAAGGGCATTGACGCCTTTGAGTGTGTGTGTATGCTGAAACATCCAAACAACACACTCAAGTAACACTAACACTAAACAAGAAACACCTTACGCGTGGACGTCCCACAACTTTAAACCTTACAAATATCAACATTAATAATGTAATGTAAAAGAATACTGGTCTACCGTGAACGATCCATCAGTGGAATACTGTCTCCCAAGTTAGAGGAATACCTAGTTTGGAAGGCAATGTCTACTTTGTACACCTAATGCTTACAGCATTTATTGTATTATATAAGTAACAAAGATATTGAAATTCATTCAAGTTCACACTATTATAACCTCTAACTTTGCGTTTCATGATGATTAAAATTAAGGAAAACTCATTATTAATCAATTATAAGTCGTTAATCGTTTTCTCAATGGATTGTATTGCTTCTTCTTTGTTTTTTGGTAAAAATATAAAGTATGTTACACATTTGTTTCTTCTGAACCTTTTTCCCAATCTAGGTTGGGGTCGGCTTCAAGTCTGAACGGCTGAACTTCGATTTTTTACGCGGTGCGACTGCCGTCAGACTTCCACAACCCAAGTACTAGGTGATATCAAAGTTCTGTAAAAAGACTGTTGTTGGACTTTTTAGGGCTCCGACTACACGTTACGATTGCCACAGATATTCATAACTTCGTATGGCAACCGGGAGCGATAGCTTAACGTGCTCTCCGAGACACGAAGGGCTCTCAATGTATCAGGAAGGGTCACCTATCTTTAGACTGTCCTGGCTATGATTGCTTAACTTTGCAATGTGTTAACCTATTCGCTTACCACTTAGCCACGAGCCCCTCCTATAAAATATATTACACAAACCAATAACTTGTTACGGTACCACAACACTTGTCAATTTAATTGATTGTTCATTTAATACCTGAAAGGAACAAAACCTATATTAATAGGTCTTATACTTGATTTGCCTAAATGACAATATTACATAACCGTATCTCATCAATCATTAAAATTTACTTAATTCATTGTTTTGCGTTCCCGACTTGAGTTACACAGGGAAGTCTGTCATTCATCGTTAAGTGTTACCAATATTTAACTTGAAATCTATGTATATTTTGAAGACGAATTCGAACCCGCTCCATGTTCTCAAAAACAGTTAGGGACAAGTGCGAGCGCTCTTAAGATTCCCTAAACTATTAACAAACTAATTTGTTTACAGATATACTAGGTATAAGTAGTTCGTCCACGTCGGAAATCAATCCACGATGATTTACGAAGACTCAACTTTTTCCTGTTCCAAACATTCATGTTATAATTACTCATGAAAGCACTTGAAATCTTCATAGATAAGTCAACTGCCTGGTTCCTTGATGGTGGGCCATCGAGAAACCAGGCAGTTGACTTCCTGGGTTAATGACCAAACTTCAATTCACTTCGAATTATGTTCATTTAATTCAACTATAGTTGAATGAACTTTTTTTCTATTCCGATCCAATTACAATACATAATAGTAGTATGTGAACACGTACCATAATCAGGGCCGGATTACACATTAGGCAGAGTAGGCAACTGCCTAGAGGCCCCACATCGGTTAGGAGCCCCGCTTTTCTGTAAGTTCCTGAGGAGTTACACATCAGTCAGGTGATGCTGCTGATGCTATTACTCACAACCCTTCATCAACTTACAAAAAGCTGAATCTTTAAAAAAAAGGGGCCCCAAGGATTGCATTGCCTAAGGGCCTCGACATGGCTAATCTGGCCCTGACCATAATATTTGTGTAAGAGTATACAATATTTCTAATAAAACATTTAATGCCCTTTACACTCATTATGCGTTATAATATTATCAATACGACTTAGTTTACCCCTTCGCGAATAAAAAAGTGAGTTGGCATAGGCATATGTATGATGTAAACACCATCAACCGACACGCTCAATTTATTGTTTCTATAAATAATTATGTAAATGGACATTATTTAACGTCTAATTTACAATTCGCTGTCATAAAGGTTGATATTCAATACAAAGTTCAGAGGTTAAATTGTCACTTTGAATACACTTCAGCGCCGTTTTTTATGGCCGGCCCTTGTCCTTTAGCAGTGTACAGAAATCAACTTTCAGCGCTTATTGCTTGACGTTTTTATTTTACGTGAAGTGAATTTAATTTTTATGTTTATGATAACGTAATAACCTAATAAAACCCTGACAAACCTTGCACACGGCCGTCTGATTCTAAACTAGCTTTTAACTAACTAACTTTTTAATCAGACCGACTAATGATACTTTTATATTTTTCAATATTATTATAGATGACCTTATTCACTAATTCCTGTTAACTATTATACCGACTACCATAGACAGTAGAATTTGTAAACACGTTCGACTTTAATGCATATCTAATAATATAACACTTGCGCAGTGTAATAATATTGATAATATTCTACCTACATTCACCAAACGCCGTATGATCCGTTAAAGTGTGAATTTTACTTTTAGTAGACGAATTCTACACTTTACCCAGGTAATCTGCATATTAACGGAAGCGGAATTCGTGGAAGACAGAGAACGAAACACTTTTGTCTATTTTTCTTGCCGATTGGTCAGTCAAAAGTACTTTTGACCGCAATATCACACTATTATAACTACATCTAACCCAAATGATCTGGCGCTCAACGTCGGCGTCCGCATCCCGCTCGTTTGCCTTTGCGCTTTAATGGTCACTGTTGTAACCTAAGCTCACCCAAATTTTACTTTACCTTTGGCTTGGTCGTTAGTCTTGGTTACCTAGGAAGTCTGCAGATTATCTAGTTAATGTAAGAACTGAACCAAATTTTGTCACTTCAACGGACTCAACCAGATAATCTGCAGATTAATAAGTTACTCGCGTACCGACGACGCAAAGATGTTCATAGCATAAGTTTATTCATTTAAAAACAATTTAGAAATTAAATCTCTGGTACTAGTAATGTACTTTATGTAAATTTTCTGTATGTACATTTTATATTAACAATATCTCTATTTTGTTTTTTTTTTCAGCGACTACAGAGGCAGTCATGGGGACACTAATAGGCAATGTAACAAATTATTATCGATATGTAAATGAAGATTTAGCAGGTAAATAAAAAATGTAACTCTACCGGTGTGAAATTTGTATTTCTATTTTTCTATAATTTTATTACAATTATATTCTCAAAATCATATGATCCAAATAACATTAAAACTATGAAACTTTAGCAGCAATATCTGTGAGTTACATAATAATAAGACATGCAGGATAGATACGACGAAAGCTTGTGCAATCACTGAAAACAATTGACGGGAATCGAATTTCAGTATAACACCAGAAATAAATACTCAACAATTTATAATCCCTAATAGAAATCTCATATTTTGATGGCCTGCTTTATCTAAACGGTATATTCAAATGCTTATCATACCTGGAACTGCAGTCAGCCAGGTACAGGCCTATATTTGGATTATAGGAAGCACTGAAGTGTTTTAAGTATCGCAGGATCACAGTGCTATGCTTGCGTTTTACCAGTTTTACCAATTTTTCATAAACTTGCAAAGAGAGGCCATAGACTTATGTTTCTTGAGTTGCATTTTATATCAAATCTTATATATAAAATTCTCGTGTCACAATGTTCGTTCCCGTACTCCTCCGAAACGGCTTGACCGATTCTCATGAAATTTTGTGTGCACATCGGGTAGGTCTGAGAATCGGCCAACATCTATTTTTCATACCCCTAAATGGTAAGGGTGACCCATCCCTAATTATTTTTTGTTTTGCAATACAACGTTTGCCGGGTTAGCTAGTATTATATAAAATACCTCTTTTTGTAATTTATAACTATATTTAGTTTTATAAATATTTTAAAAATTATAATAGATTATCTTGAGTAATTTTGCCATTATTTTCAGATCCTCGTACCAATAAATTCATTTTTGTTGGTAACCCGATCCCGATCTTAGTGATACTGTACGTGTACCATAGGTTTGTTATGTCATGGGGCCCTGCGTTCATGGCCAACCGGCAGCCATATAAACTCAAGAAAACAATCATAGTATACAATATTATACAAATATTCCTATCAGGATACCTCACATCAGAAGTAAGTGATGTAAACTGTAATACAATAACTTACCCACAAGTAGGTATTTATTTGTGATATTAATTAAATCCATTTTCTAAATAATTAATAGAAAAACCAAACATCAAATTAAAAAAAATACATTTGTTTGTCCCAAAAATAATGTAGGAATTTTATGATTTCCTAAAAATGGTTTTGCCATATCCCTCTGTCTGACCGGCTGTAGAGATCAAAATGTATGTGTGTAATTTTCATTTCCGAGTAGCCCATACCACAGCGTATATTTGTTTTTATTAAACCCCCTCGGGCCGTCTCCCCACCGGAGTTTGCGACGGTGTGGTGTGCCAGAATCGGACCGACTAAAACCCACACGGTGTTCCACTCTGCGGCAGCTGCATCCGAACCCCTCCTAACGCCTGCCCACAACGGCGCGGGCACCACCTTCGCTTTCTTTCTCTATTTAGGCTTCGTCCGGCACACGCGGATGTCGCTTATGGGAGCTTCTCCCATCTACCAATACTGCTAGATTTTTTTTGGACTTTTATTCAAACTTAACAAAAATAACAAACAAAGGTTCTCAAATAACACGTCTTAGGGAAAATCCATAAAAAAGCCATTGGTGGCAACTCTAACCCTTGGTTAGAATAATGTAAGAATAATGTCAAGCATGGGTAATACAACGACACGACGGTAAGTGATATAAGGACCAACCCAAAAGAAAAAAAACAACTTTGTTTTTAAATTAAAATCGGAGGGAGACTGTTGAGTTTTCCTTCCGGAACTCTTGCCAAGGCTTTCTTAATTAGGAAATCTCTGGAACCCCGACGGACCCCGGGCCATCTACGACTTGTAGATGACCCCCTCGTGTGTGGCAACCACGGTGTTCCCCTTCTACAACCTAAAAGGCGCACGCGCTCCACAGCGCGTCGTGCCGCTAACACGTCCTGCTTCTGGTAGGGTGATAGATGGCCTCACCTGTCACCCACAGGCCTGCGCTTATGGAGGCTGGAGGTCGTTTTGCGACCTCCGGCGCCTGAGTCTCCTGCCGAATCTCTCCCGGTCCCGCTCCGCCGTCTCTTTCGCAAGCATAGCTTCTTCGCAGAAGGAGAGAGTTCCACGTGCTCTCGCTCTGTACCATGGCCGCAATCATGTTAGTACCATGATGATGACATGAGAGAATTCCCACTCCGATGGCCGCCACGAGGTCACGCCTATGCTCAAGAGGAACGCAGTGTCCACGTTCCGGCCGGTGATCCCCGAAGCATCCTTTGCCCTTGATCAACTGCGTCAGCCGGTATGAGAGGGTCCCGTGTTGCCTCTCAAAGCAATCCTCCATAACAGGTCTTACCGCCGCAATAACGACGTGCCTGGCGCTTGATTGCCCAAGTCGTTCCTTCCACTGCTCCACGAGAACATGGCAGAGCTGAGATTTCTGATCCTCGATTTCTCGAGAATCCATCCATCGATTTCTCGAGAATCTCGCAAGGGCTCTCGCCTCCAGGTCCCATGGTGGAGTTCCGGCCAGGAGACTCGCCACCTCAAAGGTGATCGTGCGGTACCCCCTTATGACTCTGATAGCCACTACTCGCTGCGATCGCCGCAGTAAAGCAACGTTACTGGCATTCAGGGCCTTCGCCCATACTGGGGCCCCATAAAGGGCCTCGATGCCGATGCGAATTCCTCCTAAAGAAATATGAAACTTTATGTAAATTATTTATTTGGTGCCACTAAAGTGGCAACGCAAATTAGGTAAATCATTTACTCAACAGTAGTTAGAATGCCGCTGAATTACTACAAAACGTGAAAGGTGGTAGGACATTGCAATAAAATTATTGTGTAAAGCAAAGGATACGCAGGGCTGGCTAGCGGTTTCACTGCACCAGTTTGTGCCTTGTGTAATCGCACTTGACAGCCTAGAATCAGTTCGTTATTTAAACCGCTGCCTATAAAACATTACAAAGAAAATTATTTAGAAGGTTTTGTCACCAAAATGTGTGGGATAATTAAGGAGAATTTTAGGTAGAATAAAAATATTTAGAATCACTTAGAGGAAAATCCCTAAAATTGTTGGCGCGTTATTTAAAGGGTCTACATATACGACCCTAAACTTTGACCACACCTTTTTGTAACATTCTGTATCATCATAATAAGAAGTGATATTATAATGTATATAATATTTATACACGTTTATGAAGGTTAGCATATAGTGTAAATGATAATATCCACTTATTTAACAGAAAATATAATAACATAAATACATATATACCTACCATGTACAATGTACATACGTCTACATATACGAGTATAAGTATATAAATAAATTAAAACTTGTAAAATAATCAGAAAGCTAGCAGTGTTGTCACGGAATTCAAAGAGACTAGAAGGTATCTATTGCTATTATAATGTTACCTATTATATTGAGGATGGTACTGATTTTGTTTTTTTTTATAATTATTATTTTTGTAATTTTAAGTAGTATTAGTTAGTTAGTATTGTTTGAAGTAGCTTTAACTTATATGGTCAATATATGACTAGATTATTGAAACAGTTATCCTCTTACTCCTAAAGATCAAGAACCCTTCCATCATCAGCTCAGCAAGATGCGATAACGACTATCAAACGCAAATACCTGTATAGCTAGAAAAAAGTTGCCAAAACACGTTTGTCGGGGCTGTAAAATTGCAGGGTTTCAAACGATTTCCCTGGGATCCCATCGTCAGACTCTAATTTGGTGGTAATGGGACCACCTCAAGAGTTTACCCTATCGATTACAAAAAGAATTTTTAAAGTCAGTCCACACGGGAAATCGCGTAACAAACATACAAAAAAAAAAAAACAGACGAATTGAGAACCTTCTCTTCTGTCTTTTTGAAATCGATTATAAAGCATCACTCACTGACCGATGCATTAATATGTATAACTAGCTGCGCCCCGCGGTGTGACCCGCAGTTTATGCGATATTTCAACTTCTTCCTCATCCCACGGGAACACTACTTATTTGTTTAGGATTAAAAGTAGCCTATGTATTAATGCCAGCTGCCTCCATACCATATTTCATCCAAATTGCTCCAGCCGTTTGAGTGTGAAGAAGTAGCAAACACACAAAAATGTCTGTGTTTACACTTACAAACTTTCGCCTTCAAAGTATTAGTGTGGTTTTTAGTAGTTCTGAAGTTAAATATTATTAGAACTGCCAGGTTTCTAGGGATACTGCTTGGTTAAACAAAGTGTTTCGTAATTTGCAGTGCCTTACAAAGCTTTACCTGAACGGGCAGTACAGCTTATGGTGTCAGAAGATCGTATATGAGGACACAGAATTTGAACGACTGGTCGTAAGCAGAGTATGGCTTTATTATATGATAAAGATCGTCGACCTGCTGGACACGGTAAACCCTTTTTTTATTTTTTCTTGGTAGTTTGATTTAATTTGTCTCATAGAATAAGACTTTTTGACGGCACGGATAGCCGTAGTGGTTTAAGTGATCACCTGACTGCTTTCTACTGTGCTGAGTGTTGTGGGTTTATTTATTTATTAAAGATTCACCAATAACTGTTTACATTAATTCCTTAAACTAATACATGTCATTTAGTAATAACAATGTAACAGCCACTTATAGGTAAACACCGCTTATGCTTTAAAAATAGATAAAACTCAAAAGGTTGAATGTTTCAAAACAATGAATGAAAAAATCTCACAAAGGGAAAGTATTAATACATTTTTTTTTTAATTTTCATATTACATTTATTGCGTCATAGCAAATCACTAAGTACGTACTTTTTCTTACAAATTGTATCGAAGTGTATGTCAATGACATCGCTGTAGTGATTCACTACTTTACACATTCTTGCAAAGGGAGAATTGGCACCAAGAACTGTTCTTCTTAGCGGGGAACAAAGTGGCGCGACTTGGCTGCGCGGGTCTGGATGGAACTCGAAACTTAAAAAGGGCTACCAACTGAGGACAGTAAATTTTCTGGTCTAGAATTTTGAATTGAAATTTTCTTATACGTCTTGCTAGGGATTTTATTCCAAAGTGCCTCATTCTGCCTTCATAAGTGCGTCTTTTTATTTGGTGTATTTTGTTGGTGGGTTCAATCTAGACATGGGAGAAAATCACAGGAAACTGTGAATGAACGGTGATTTATCATTCGATTCGACGTACGTAGGTTAGGGTTACTAATTACTCACGCGTTGTTGCAAATAAACTGTTTTCAGACGATGCATTAAGCCTATTTCGCCTATTATTTATTAGTATTAATACATTTTTTTTTTTAATTTTCATATTACATTTATTGCGTCATAGCAAATCACTAAGTACGTACTTTTTCTTACAAATTGTATCGAAGTGTAAGTCAATGACATCGCTGTAGTGATTCACTACTTTACACATTCTTGCAAAGGGAGAATTGGCACCAAGAACTGTTCTTCTTAGCGGGGAACAAAGTGGCGCGACTTGGCTGCGCGGGTCTGGATGGAACTCGAAACTTAAAAAGGGCTACCAACTGAGGACAGTAAATTTTCTGGTCTAGAATTTTGAATTTGAATTTTCTTATACGTCTTGCTAGGGATTTTATTCCAAAGTGCCTCATTCTGCCTTCATAAGTGCGTCTTTTTATTTGGTGTATTTTGTTGGTGGGTTTAATCTAGACATGGGAGAAAATCACAGGAAACTGTGAATGAACGGTGATTTATCATTCGATTCGACGTACGTAGGTTAGGGTTACTAATTACTCACGCGTTGTTGCAAATAAACTGTTTTCAGACGATGCATAAAGCCTATTTCGCCTATTTAACAGTAAATCTAGTAATTATTTTATTATAAATAGCTATCATTCCCTACATAAAAATTAAAAAAAATACTAAATTTACTGTCAAATAGCGTCCAACCTACCTACCTAGCAACCCTTCAGAAGTTCACTGTGATTTTGTCCAATGTCTAGTTCGATCCCTACATGTGACATCACTTTGTTCTGAGACTTGGTGTTCTTTGTGTCCGTTTCACAAATGTCTGTAAAGTACACACGACGTCCTTACGACACGTCCTTAGTGCGGCAGTTGTCAATTTGTAAATATTAAATTAAATTAAGTAAATTAACTTTTCATTGATACTAGATAAAAGTAGATACATTATCGCTATGATGTGCACGCACGATTTACACATAAAAAATACTGTACTCGTTTATTCCTACATTACACATACGTAATGTATGAATAATCGAGTACAGTTTTTTTATTGTTCGAAGATAGTTATTAAATAGCTTACTAAATATTACATATTCGCCAATTGCGGTAAACATTAACATAATTAAAATAGATTTATAATGAAGTGTTTATTAATGGGGCCACGCCTCTCAGGGCCTGTAGCTTAAGCGCTTGCAAACATACAGCAATGTAAAACGATTACGGAAAAACGTCACGATTCTTGGTTTAGTTTAGTTTATCAATATATTTTGTACAAAGTTATCAATGGTACGACATTGGTTCGTACTTGTATTTATTTACATATGTTTACTGTATAATACGAAAAAAATATAATCAATATTTTAATCGTGCACACACGGTTGTACAATATGGCGGTACTATAAATAAACTTCTATTTCTCAACATTACGATGCAGAGACGAATTGTTTAATCGTTGTCAAATGTTGCAATAAGGATTGGGAAATCTTAACTCTAAGAATTACCGTACTGAATTAACATAAATCATCAGATAATGGTAAATTATAAATTATTATAATCATTTACACCTGCTTCGTAATTTTGAATATGTTCATAGATTATGTTCAAGTATAGTAACATATTGCATGATACAGTAGACATTTCTTTAGAATATGAGTTTTTTTACGAAAAAAATTAAGACATATCGTTAGCGTACAAGATAGTGTGACAACGTCATCACTTAAAACGAGTAAATTATTTAAAAGATAATTACTCAACATGCCTGGAAAGACGAAGTCTATTATTTTTTTCCAAAATTAATTTCAAAGAAAGCCTTCGAACTGACTATCTTTACGACATCTTTCAATACTTCATTCAATGATCTGTCAGTTCTAACAGAAGAAAACAGCAAAAGATAAGCATTAGAAAAGAAATACATGCGTCTAGTACTCAAATAGCTGGCTAGCTAATAAAAAATTCAAAGTTTCCTTTTCTCATTAAACTGAACATAACTTTAGAAACGAACAATACAATGGCTTATTGTTTCACAATCAGTTCAGTTGGCAATAAGGTATAATGTTTATATTGTATCGTATATGCAAAGGTATCATGATAGTCCAATTTTACTTTAGCTCGTTCCAGGATCCAGGATCTAATAGTATTTGACGACATTTTTACGTGAATATTTTTCTCGACAGGTATTTTTCGTACTACGAAAGAAGTTCAACCAAATTTCCTTCCTACACGTTTATCACCATTTAGGAATGTGTATACTGGGATTTGTTGGCACTAAATATGTACCAGGTACGTAAATAGAACAACTTTTCAATACATAAGATACGCAAACCTACATTCACAAATCATCAGTGCACTCGCCAAAATCTTTGTATGATTTCGTAAATTGTCAGAAGGACAATAAAGTATATTTTTACCTATTGGGAAGTTTATCATCTTCATTTGAAATGCAAATATTTTTTATAATGTCCGTGCTGAGCTGACTTTTGTCATCATCATCACTCTCCACCAAATCCGAAGCTACTGATTACGATGAAAAATATGAGGGCTATTTATATTTAACACACTTTTTTTTCTTTTTTCTTGCAACTAATTCGGGTAATTATCAAATAGTATAGTTAGTTAATAGTATAATATAACTATATAAATATAGTTCTCCACTCCGGGCCAGTCTAGTACTAGATGAGATGCTAGAGGAGCAGTTGCAATGGGCACAGAATTCTACTACTCCCGATATTTGTTTCTAAGCACTCTTTAGGCTGATATACCAAGGAGAGTTTAAACCCGCTACGTATAGTATCGCTACTGGGAATGCACACAATGATCAATTCAAAATTTAGCCTCCGTTGTCTGCCGGCGTCTTAAAGTGAGTATTTATACTTACTTTTAAATAAATTACAGGAAAAAAGTACACACAATTTAAATTTTCAACAGGTGGTCACGGCATAATGCTGGGTTTCATCAACTCAACAGTCCACGCTGTTATGTACACCTACTACCTGATCTCCATCGTGAGACCGCAGTGGGTGCGCCAGTGGTGGAAGAAATACATTACACAGCTTCAAATCGTAAGACCTGCTTTGGACGTATTTATTATTAGATCATTTTTGTCATCACTGTAGCAATCGACGTCATAACTAACCACAATATACCTCGTCCTTTACAACTTATTTCGAAAGACACTTTCGGATTTTGGGTCAGGCACGAGGTTTTGTATAACCAGAAAAAATATACATTCCTTCCACTTGTTTTGCTCCAATGTGAAATGGCAACAGAAATATTATGGCTTAACCAGGTTTTTCACACTAAAGAAAATTTGTGACCAGTAATTCTAAATAAATCTAATTTGTAGTCAATGCATTCAATCAAAACCTTTATCATCATTTTAAGATATAAATCATAAAATAGAGTTTTACAATATGATGCGTAGAAAGTTAGGTTATTTTTCTACGTAGCACATTTAAAAACTGAGGGGATAGTTATCAAACACTAAATAGAAAGTAACCTGCCTTCTTTTACCGTTCAGTTCAATAATTTCATTGTTAATTAACATAAATATATGCCTTTGTAGTAATAAGAAATTAGGGCTTAATATTATTTAAAATAGTCCACTGCTGGACATAGGTCTCTCCTTAGAAAGGAGGTTTGGCCTACTATACCACGCTGGCCAAACGGGTCGGTATAGGGTTTGTGTTATTGATGTAAAACAACCGCTTTGAAATGTTTTTAATGAAATGTTGCCGTTTTAAACCCCAAATAAATCGTTTTAAGCGGTTAAAAACTCGCCTATAAAAATATAAAAAATATGTACTATACTTATTTACTATATTATATTACACTCACTAGATTAGAAGACATCATTAACATAATGCCGTCCGTTTTATTTGCGCCTGAAAGGGACAACGTTATATCTTCAAGGCTGTCGCGAGTGACGACATCAACGAGAGTGCAAGGGTGTGAGTTTGGTTTTAAACCAAACCGTTTAAAAACAATGAAAATAAAGTTTATTTACTAACACAAGAGTTTTTAACGGTATATGAACTGGGAGGCAATAATCTACATACTAAACTATCCAAGTTGATTAATGTCGTAAACATTTTTATATTGTTTTGAAAGTTCATTCGGTCATATCATTGTTATAACAGCTAGTCTGTTACTAAACAGTAGTTTAAAACAAAAATATTTAGTTTAATATGTATTTAATCATACTTTCATTGAACAGCTTCAGTTCCTGTTGCTGATCCTCCACTTCGGCCACGTGCTTTTCGAGCCATCATGTGAATATCCCAAATGGATCTCCTTCATGTTCCTGCCACACAACATATTTATTCTATTCCTATTCTCAGACTTTTACATCAAAGAATACATTAGAAAGAAAAATAAAAGTAAAACGAACTAGATTAATAATACATATTATTAAGAATAAGTAGTTCGATATTTTGTAAGATTTGTAATAATAAATGACTTATTAGTTTTACTCACAAGTAATTATTTTTTTGTACTTCTCCTATTTATTTTTTTGCATTTATCATGTTCCTCTTTTATGTTTGACCACCACCCAATCAAACTAGAAGCACGTAACCGATAACAGGCAGAAACAGAGGCTTCGTGGTTGCCAGGAAATAACTATATTTTTTTTTATGGAAGAAGGAGCAAACGAGCAGATGTGTCACTTGATGGAAAGTGACTACCTCCGCCCATTAACGCCTGAAACTCGGGAGTCACAGTTTTACGAGGCAAAAAGTGTCTTGAAAAGCGCACAGTGGTGGACTGCCAATTGTCCAACTGGTGGGGATGAAAATTTTGTCGTGTGGAACGATGGCGGAAAGTTGCGGCCGGTATTAGTCCGAAAAATTCGTTGGAGCACTCTCCATGATATATACAATAGAGAATGCAGAGTGAAGCTACATCTCTACGTAAAACCAAGGGATCGAGCCGATCGGAGATCTTTTGAGAGATAAATAATATTACGTATTGCTCAGTATCCTGATGAACGGACGGGTCGTAGTTGAGCAAGCTCTTGCCAGTCTTCACACGGAATGTCACATGCTGTTAGATGGCTTTTCCAGGTGGTGTCCCTGTAACGCAGGAACTATCAACCTCAGGAAGATCAGAGAAAAAGAAAAGGTTGAGAAGTCTGGAGTCGCTTACAGGTACTAGATAACCACACCATCTGCGCGGAACCCCATTAGTAGAGATTCGATGCCCATCGTCCGCATCTGGCGTAGGATCTCTGAGTTGGGGACATAGTCTTGCCATTTGATGCGTAGAATGGACGTCAAACACTTCATGTGGAAAATGTCAAGGCGCTTTACCCTTGTACAGGCGCCAGGTCTCAGTGACGTAGAGCAATATGGGGAGTATATTACTCTACACACGGTTATTTTCGTATGGAGACGCAGGTCATGTAAAGTCCAATCACTGCTTGTTAATTTGCCGAAAGAACAGTGCTTCCCAGGTAACGGAACGAAGACACTTCCTCTAGGGTTTTCTGTGTTATGACCGCGGAATCAGTAATGTCGCCTCCAGCTGGTTTCATTATTTGTGTTTTGGAAACACTTAGGTACGATTAGTCCAAATCTACGGCAAGACCCTTCACAACTATCTAAATAGTTAGGTAAGGTTATCAGCCATAAAACAAATGTCATCGTCGTTAGACTACAGTCGCAAAAGTATATTAGCTGAGAAAAGCACCGAAATACTATCAGAAACTTTTGACATACTGCGCTGATGTGTCTATTGGCCGCAGATCTATTACTAACTACTAACACTCGTAAATGTGATTGGTAGAATGATAAATAAACCGAACTACGTAGAAGTTACCGCAAAGCTCGTTGAAAATTAAACGCTATTAAAAAGCATAACGTAACAGGACATTTGAACAATAATGCTCTCATTGCTCTTAGAGTTGTAAGGTCTCATTACAGTAACAGAAACTTAAGTCAGAAACTTGTTGATAAACTCTATAGAGATCACCCGTGGTCACCGTGCACTCGTCCGTGGTATTATGAATTTAAGGCAATTAGATCAATCGACCTTGCGTACATACAGAACATCAAAATTAATAACAGATATAGCACAGGAGTAGAACAAATGGCAGGTTTTCTTTTAGAATCCCTTGTACCTTACGATCGGTCGGAAAATGACACTGATCATCACCGACAGGTCATGAAAAAAATGTAATGCTCCTGCTGAGTCTTTGTGCGTAGTGCAAACACAAAACATCATGGATTACAATATCATTGTGCGAAGAAATTAAATTAAGGATGTAATTACCACACACACATGCACACTTTCGGACTTACCATCGAATGTTCCGTTCCACCCGTGAAACCCCCAAAAAGAACTTGTCTCAAAACTTTATCCTTGGTAGCGTTGCAGAAGTTGACTCACGACTGAAGCTTGCTCTTGAAAGGAAATTTTGGTCAATATTAGCGGATATTTTTATCTACAATAAATGCACAACGCATCTAACATATTTAATTAGATAACGTATAATAATGTATTGTTTAAAATAACCCATTTTTTTTTTTAGTATTTTAAAGATGAAAAGGTTACTGATGGTTATCCTTATTAGATGGACATATACCATCGCAGACTCTGCTTAGTTTGGAACTAGATGACGTTGTGTGAATGTGGAAAAAAAACTAAGTAAATAATAATTAAAATACAATAGAATTTAAACTAAAAAGTGCTTAGGAGTTACAATAAATTTAAATTAAATCCAATAATAATAATAATACATCCATAAAATTTGAAACACAAACAGTAAAAACCCAAACTTACAGTTTTACTAAATGCTTTTTAAATTTAGACAAAGACCTACAATGCCAATATTATGAGTCTGCAAAGTATTGTATTGCATAAAGAGCCTTGGTACAGCGACATGATGACCGAGATTTGTTGTTGAGGTTGAAATGTCAAATAAGCTATATGCATTCTTTCTTGGAATACGGTTGGGTACCAACATGTTATCGTATGCGATTCATAGCGAAACACCGATATCTGTTCTTACAAATCCTAAACTCAAAACAACAAATAATAAAATATATCGTTATTTTTTTCACGTTGGGATTTTAAAAATTTAAATAGGTATCAATTGACTTTAATATCTCACCTACATCGATAAATATCAGCCATCCCTAAGATTGTCACATGTGTCAGTTGTGTCAAAAAGTCAACAGTCAACACTGACAGCACAATATTGTGATATGAGAACTTGTGATTTCGATTAAGTAACCGATGTTGTGTTTTTACAAATAAATCGTGATTAGATTACACTTAATACATTTTCATGCATTATTTTTTAACATGTCTGACGAAAATAAGATATCAAAACCTGGGGCAGCAGCTTTAGAAAACATGAAATTACTACAACATGAGAGTACAATTTTTAAAGTACCAAAAGTACCTAAACAAAAGAATGATAAAAAAACTCATGTGCTAGACGAAGAGGTTTATGTTGAGGTAAGTCATGTTTGCATCTTGCCGTCGTTTGCAGTTCTTGCTTCGTTAAAAAATAGTCATAGTGAAACAACTGTTGGACTTACATGAAGTGACTACAAACTGTTGTTGGTTGTCACGGAACGGAACAATATACTACTGTTCAAATGTTAACAATGTTTAAAAATACAACACGTCTAGTCTGGCAATTTTACCGCCACCTATAGACATCTGCAACTTAATAGTCACAATTATTTGTCGGCCTTTGTATCCTCCCCCAGTATTAGGGGTCCCCCATGTATTAGGGGTCTAGGCATTTGGTTTCGGAAAATCTCACTAATAAGTGAAAAGCCACAAAAGAGTTGCATATCAACAAACTTCTGTTAGGCTATGGTACAAATTGCAACTGTACTGAAGCATGGCTCTCCCACAGCAAAACCTAAATATACAAATACATAGATGTCACCAAAGTACTTGCTCATTAATTCATGAAAGATACTTCAAGTAAATGCTCCTTTTGTTACATATATTTCTGTCATTTAAAATAATAATTAATAATTTTAAAACTTTCAGGGTATAGCAAAGATCATTCAAAGAGATTTCTTTCCTGATTTGGAGAAGTTAAAAGCACAAAATGAATTCCTGGAAGCCACAGAGAACAAGGACTATGTCCGTCTTCGAGAAATCACTAGAAAGTATAGCGGTAGTAGACCTCCTACAGAACCATGTAAGCTTCTTGCATCTGTCTTCATTTTATTTGAGAATATTTAGTAGTTTGATAGTGCAAAATGGTAATTAATGATAGACAGTGATGACAGACAGTCATCAGAAATTATTTAAACATATATTTATGGTATATTGGTATTATGTGTGGCCTCTCTAGTAGTAGTAGCAAAAAACCTTGGCTATATGGGAGCTATGGTGGCTTAGTTTGTACTATAGCTATGTCACTATTCATAATAGAATAATTAAGTCTAAGCAATGACTTTCAATCTGCTGCAGGTCTCATCACCTATCTGCATCACTTCAACAGACCTATTTCGTATTACAACATTTAAATGATATATAGATGATTCAGACAAGCCTGTTGGCCACTAACTACTAGGTTTAGTGATCCTGAAAGCTCAGTTCCAGGTTGTGTGTTGAGCATGTTCATTTATTCTGTGTTTGCATGTAATTTTATCCATATTATTTATGTATTATGAGATTTGTAAGAATAGTCTGTAAATGTGGTGATGGATTAAGAATACTTAGTGTCACCACCCCTATTCATCCCGTGGGTGTCGTAAGAGGCTAGTAATTAGGCAGGGCAACAGCACTGCAAGGATGGAAAACTTGACACAAACCCTATGCCAACCTGTCAGGCCAGTATGGTATAGTAGGCCCAAACCTCCTTTCTAAGGAGAAGCCTATGTCAAACAGTGGACTATTAAATGCTGTTGAAGAATGTTTATTAAGAAATTAATGTGCCTGCTTACCAGCAATAGGATTGCCCCCCAATTTACGTAAGTGGGACTAAAATTGTAGTTATCTAAATGGGGACGTTTAATATGCTCCTGTCTACTCCTTTGTGGATGTAATTATGTATGTATAGATAGCTCAGCGAATTTATGAATATCAGTAAATTTAAAATTGCATTTGGTGCTTTATTTAGTCTGACAATAGATATGTAGGGACACAAGCTTTGTCAGCACTTTGTAACTCATTCTACTACTGCATTGAATATCGCCAGTCTCAGGATTGTTGGGCTACGAGTGTGTCGCGTTGTACTGTAAAATCGTTTGAAAATTATAACTCTAAAGAACATGTTTATCATTTATTTATATTGCCCAATCCCGTGAATCAATAGATACAATCTGTCTTAATTTATATTATCGGATAATTTATTAAACCTTTTGTTCCAGATAACTCTCCGGCCACATTTGATACACCACATGCAGATAGACCATTCACTCCTTCTGAATCTACCCTACAGGGAGAGAGACTCGAGCCAGATGATGGGTCCAAATCACAAGATAAAACCAAAGATATTACAGTCAACCATTCATTGGGTACGTAATGTTGTTTAGAATTTTGTGATCCATGACACTGTAGAAATGAAGCTCACCTCATGCCAACAAAACTCATACATCTTTGAAAAGCTAATTGTTATATTAGTGAGATGATATTTTACCAGACTTAAAAATTATACAAATGTTACTTCAGTTTAAAAAGAAATTGTTGAGACAACGATCGAAAAAACAAAAAAAAAAATACAGTTTACTTGTACTTTTTTAATTTCTTATAATCATATTCACTCCCTAATAAACATCACTAGCAGATGTTAAAATTGTTTTGTAATTTTAATAATAACACAGTTACAATAGGCTTCTGGTTGAACAAGAAAAATTTCTGGCCAAGTATAAGCATCAACTCATGATCATAAATGATGTAAAATACAAACAATATTCTATTTAATAAGAACTAAAAGTCGTATGTAGTCAGTCCTCTTAAAAATATATTTCTTCTAAAAAGCTGTGCATGACTTGAAAATACTATAGTAATATACACTATGTTTTAAAAAATACTATCAATATTTATTAATAGAAGAATATTCTCGTTATTATATTCAGACTCATTCCTTTCAACTCACACAAGCGAAGACAATGCAAGTTATGATAGAGTTATAGCACTGGAGGACAAGAAAAGGTTCTCGAAACTAGCAACACAGTTCCAGGCGGAAGTGACGTCAGCAGCGCTCGCAGATACTGCCCTTGCTTTACCCTCTATAGAGCAACAGGCAGACCAGACCGAAAGACCACACGAGGTGAAGACTTGTTGTCACTAAGCGAAAATTTATTCAATCACGATATATTTTTAAAATATTAGCTGCAAACTACAATCTATAATGCAATTTAATATTGATTTTTTTTTATTTATTTCGTGAATATGAATTAATGGTATGATGTAATAAATGGCGGCTAGCTACGGGAATAGGTTTCTTACGACTATTTAATTCTTAAACGTAAAAATTATTTTGTGTCCTTTGAACAGTAGTGTTTTTTTCTAGATAAAAGATATCCGATGTTCTTTTGGTACATACAATTTCTTGATAATCGCTTGATTAGTTATTACATAACACCATAACACAGTTCAAAAAGGCTGATTTTATATATATATATATATATATTTTGATAATAAATTTCTAAAAATAATAATATACTACAATATTTACCCATTGTAGTTCAGTTATTTTATTTTTTGAAATTCAGCATTTTAGTATTTATTATTATTAATTGACAGCTAGATACATGGCGCTACACAGCGAAAAACTACATAATGTATGTGCCAGACGGAGCCACCTCGCAGCAAGTGCCTCCCAAACCCGAGTTGGTGCACCATAACACGAGGCTCAGGGCTGAACCATTCGACCACGTGAAGAATAAAGAGGCTATTTCAGCTATTGCTAGAAGTCAGGTAACTATGAAAATACAATTCCCCTCAGTTGGTAAACTCGCATAAAAATGCAGGCTAATTAGGCAGTTCCATAGTGTTCTACACTGTAAAAAGTTTATAGTCAGAAAGACCAGAGAAACAGGTTTTCAGATTTAGCAAACAGATTACCACACTCCATGAGTAGGACGCCTGCTCCCTGGTCCCAAGGTTTAGGACTACTTGCAAAGTATCTTGAATAAAAACAGAAATTAACTCCTCTTTTCAACTCGAAATAAATGAAACATTTACATATTGCTGCACCATAAGATTAAATAGTTATTGTATTGTGTAGTCTGGATCTGTGTAGATGGAATCTGGAGGACAGCGCCATCTAGTATCAAGTGATGCTCATAGAAATCTGTAGATTCTTTAATATACGTGAGTCTGTCTGGAAAGTGCTATCGGCTCCTCGGGATTACTCTAGCAATTTCGGTGGCCATATACATTGTTTTTTCTTTTTGACAAACATTTAACCCATATATTCTGCACTTTATTTCTAGACGATTTGCAAAACATGAACAAAAAATATTCAGTGGTTTAGAAACAACAACTTTTTACACGCTTTATATTAGCTTCACTTGTATGTTTGTTTTTATGTTTGTAACCGACTCCTTTGGGCGTGATTTTGACTGACTTTAAACGGTCAGAATTCGTTCAAACTTTGTAGACACACTAATTTAAAAAAAAAAATAGTTTTAAAAAACTAATAAAGCCGTGTGGTGTCGTGGGACACCCGATAGGAACGAAGTTGTGACGATCGAGTAAAACTGATTCGACACGATTTTAATTACAACGCCATCTATGAAAGCGGCTATTACCTACATATTTATCAGTTGGTTTCTAATTAAAACAATTTATACATTGGTAAAATCTCCTTGAGAAATGATGTCGAATACAATATTTTTTGCTCAACCTAAGAACATAAATTTTAATTTTACTGAGATGAGAAGTAATGATTTCCTATCTATTCGATAGATGGCGCTGAATGACTGATAAGTGACAATTCAAAATAAAAAGTGTCGTTAAAACTTTCGATTTTTTTCCGTTAGCCCCCTTTCACAACGCGCAATAAGGAACTTCGTTCCAATAAAAAACGCTTTCTATAGAAAACCAAAATTATTTTCTATTTTGTGGTTTGGTTTTCTATAGAAAGCGTTTTTTTTAGTTTTTTAAAACTATATTTTTTTTGGTTTTCATAATTTGGAACATCATGTGTAAATGCAGTCATAATACATTGACCTCAGGCGGCGATCAGCTGTATACGCAGAGCGTTAACATCACACGTTGTCGCTTTTACTACACTCGAATCGAGAATCGAACGAAATATGTTGATTATTGCGTCATCAGGATGATGGGCACGCGTTTTTAATTAGTTCATCCAGTAATTACAGTCGGCCAGTCGGCCCTTAGCCACCGCGAATCGCTAAGTGTTATGCTGTTCTGTGTCCTTGTAGATGCGCTCACGACAAATTATCGTAATAATAATATTGTTGTTGTTCGTGAGATATGTGTTTAGAAAAGTTTTGTTGTGTTAATTATTGTTTAGTCTTATTGCGTTCGTCATAAACATAATACACGGTAATGGTGTGAACAATTAATGTTATCGTGTGGGCAAGACTTCGTGTTGCGACGAGTCCCGCTAAAATTATTTTGAAAAGTGAGAATATTAGTTTGTGTGTGTAGTGTATGTAAAACTGAGTGCATTATCAATCTTTTGATTTTATTAGGTTATCGGTATCGACATTCATAATACCGCGAGTGACCTCCACAGCCGTGAAATAGCCTGGCATGATGTTAATTCACCGGGAACTCTATCAAAACGCACCTTTAGCTTTACGGAATGGAATCAATCGTGTATGTCCTACAGACTGCCAAATATTGTAAGGGCGGTAATCTTTGTAAGATTACGAGATATCCAAAGTACCTACTTATTCAAGGAGTGACACGTACTGCCGTGAATAAAATCGTATTTTTAATAAATTGATTTTAAAAAGCTAGTGAAGTGATTAGTAACGTGAGGCACATCAAATGTCGCCGACATTGCGACGCTGCCGTGTACAGTTCACCGATTCATGCTAACAATGGTGTTCTAATTCGGCAATTATTTTTTTGTATTTATTGTGTTCTAAATTTGAATTTCTGTATTATCGCACAATTTTTTTAAATTTTAACCGACGTATATTAAACCGTGTTATCTGTTATTTCATTTTTAGGGTTCACTCATAAGCTCACTTTCTTGTCCGTCTGTCCGTGTGTCACCACCGATTTTCTCAGGAACGGGTAGACCTAGCAAATTGAAATTTATACAAGATACTGAGGTCTATGGTCCCTATTAGGTGTATAAAAATCAAGGTCTTGAGTCAACACGATAAATTTTCTCATTACTTGTGCTGTAAGACCTTGCTCTTAACCAAAATTGACAATTCTAGGTCAACCGGAAGTACCCTATAGGTTTTGGTTCGAAAACCAATATGGTAGTTCCCGTTGACCTAGAATCACGAAACTTGGCAAAAAGAAACGTCTTACAGCACAAATAAAGGAATAATTTCAAAAAATAAAAAAGTTGAAAATAAAGATAAATTTTGGTACTTAGAAATTTTCGCGAAAATCTACGTAAAATCAGGGTAGGTACGGACCCTCGGCGCACGAGTTCGACCTGTCCGGTTTTTTTGTGATAAGCTTCGTCACAGATTGTATAAGCAAAGCGTGTTATAGTTAAACCGCCGTAAGCTTGGCCCTCCTGATGGTTTGGGGGACGCGGGGCGGGTGATGCGCTCGGCTATACATGACAGTATTGTTTTACGAGACAGCAGATTAACATATACGAGTACTATATTCTAGTGCGACTAACGAGTTATCTAGTGATTTCTTGTTTGTAATAGTGAGTGTTTGTAAATACAGTGCAAATTTAACAACAATGTAACAATATAATACTAACTACTTAACCGCTAAAACTAGCATTATTGTGGTAACGTGTTTCTTTTAGAGTTTAGAATCGCCATGGCGTCGCATTAAGAAGTAACACGATTAAATATCATTCTGGTCAAATTATATCCACCTACTCACGCAGTTTTATTTCTTTCAAATTATACACTTTCGTTATTATAACCTTTAGGACGCTAGCGTATCGGGCAAGATTGGCGTGGACGGCGTGAGTATATCAACAGAGAAGCCAGGCGGCGAGTACTCGTTCGTGGCGACCCCGTCGCCGCGGCCCGGCGAGGGGCCCGACCAGTCGCCGCTCATGACGTGGGGCGAGATCGAGGGCACTCCCTTCCGCCTCGACGGGGGGGACACTCCGCTACCTGCGTAAGTACGCCTGACTGCAACTGTAAGATTATTATTTTTTTTATTTTTTTTTAAAGACAAGTCACGCATTAGTAATATATCCTATGTCGCAGGGGTGTAAACATACATGAAACGGACACAAAGAACACCCAGACTCAGCACAACAAGTTGTGGATCTCACAAAGTGTCGTCCCATGTGGGGATTGAACCCACAACACTTAGCGCAGTAGGAAGCGGCGTGGCGACCGCTTAAACCACTACGACATCCGCGCAGCAGATCTATTTTTTATTACCATCGAATTACCACAGTGAATCTATAGATTATAAATATTTAATGTGCGCAATCACCCCGACGCGCCCTTTACCCTACTTAATGAGCTAGAGCTGATTGAATAAATCAAATTTATTACATTAATATGTCGCGACATCATTCAATTTTACCAAAAAAAGTGCAGAGCGCCAGTTTAACATTTTTTTATAATTATATTAATGTTAAAGTTATATTTTGATCTTTTGGTAGGTATTTTACTTTAGTTGTGTTTTTTGCGAAACAATAGTGCGATTTTCCTGGTAGCGTGAAGCTGTTTCCGCAGACGAACAATTTAATTATTTTCTGTAATTTTAGATTGTACTAAAATACCTATTGGCTACTTTAATTACTTTTTTCATAAAAATAATATATATTATATTTTTTTTTTATATTTATTTATAATATACACTGTGGCGGTATAGATATCACAAAAAATGAAATAACAGATAACACGGTTCAATATACGTCGGTTAAAATAAAAAAATAAAAAATTAGTACGAGAATACAGAAATGCAAATTTAGAACAAACTAAATACAATAAAATAATTTCCGAATTAGAACACCATTGATAACATGAGTCGGTGAACTGTACCTACACGGCAGCGTCGCAATGTCGGCGACATCAAAACGACGCCGCCGCCGCCGCCGCCGCCGCGAGCCGGCGAACTTTACATTCTTATTACCTACCTACCAATCACTTCACTTGCTTTTAAAAATCTATTTATAAAGAATGCGATTTTATTCACGTGTTTATTTCGTGAATGCTCGACTAGCTTCCGACCCAGCAGTACGCGTCACTCCTTGAAAAAGTAGTTACCTTGGTTGTCTCGTAATCTTTGTACCGCCCTTACAAAAATTCGGCAGTCTGTAGGACATACACGATTGACTCCATACGTGTCCGTAAAGCAAAAGATGCGTTTTGATAGAGTTTTCCATAAATTAACATCATAGCAGGATATTCCGCGGCTGTGAAGGTCACTCACGGCATTATGGATGTTGATATCGATAACCCAATAAAATTAAAAGACTGATAATGCACTCAGTTTCACACTACACTACACACAGAACCTAATAGTGACTTTTCAAAATAAAATTAGCAGGACTCCTTACATTACGAAGTCTTGCGCACACGATAACATTAATTGTTCACACCATTGCCGTGTATTATGACGAAAGCAATAAGACTAAACAATTATTACCACAAGAAAACTTCTCTAAACAAATATGTATCTCATAAACAACAACAATATTATTATTACGGTTATTTGTCGTGAGCGCATCTACAAGGATACGGAATAGCATAAGCTCGCCGGTGGCCAAGGGCCGACTGACTGTCCTTACTGGATGAACTAATTAAAAACGCGTGTTGCATCGTGATGACGTAATAATCAACATATTTCGTTCGATTCGGGTGTAGTAAAAGCGGCAACGTGTGATTACCGTATACCTACAGCTGATCGCCGCCTGAGGTCAATGTATTATGACTGCATGTACACATGATGTTGCAATTTAAGAAACACAAAAATGAGTCCTGTGGCTAAACTACTGGATATATTTTGTTCCTATTTTGCAAATCGCCTAGAAATTAAGGGTAGAATATGTGGCTTAAGTATTTGTGAAAGGAAATGAAACTCTCTGTATATCATTTTTTATTTAAATTATTATATATTTTGAAATCATATTTATTATAATTTATACAGCGTGGGGGCGGGTGCGGCGTATCGAATGTTGGAAGGTGGAGCACGCGAACGCATCGCGTTACAACTCGCCGAACAAGTGGCTAAACGGAGAAGACCCACGACGCCAAGAATAGCGCCACCAACGCCAAGGTATGGAGTTAACGTCTTTATCCGACCAAACTTCCTTCCAAGAACCTTCATTCCAAAATGTCCACAATTTTGTTGTATACACAAAAATGACTTATAATTATTATTTTTTAGTTTTAGATCAAACACAGAACGTCTGGCCAGTATGTCCCCAGCAGCAAGAAAATTAGCAGCAAAACACTTACTTTCTCCACGACTGAGGCTCACCCCAAATGATATGGGCATTTTGTCACACGCAACACCTAAGGGGACCCCCACAGCTAGACGCCCACTAGTGGCAACACCAAATGTTATTAAATCGAGGACTCCGCGCACACCTACAGCCAATAATGGCAACACACCTACCACAGAGGACAATAATCTCACAGATAATCTACTACAAATCAATGTTGCTAAACGAACAAGATTAAAAGCAGCAGATTTCTTTCAATAAGAATCTTTAATTAAGAATAAAAACATTTTGAAATAAATATTGTTTTTTTTTATATAAAAATATACATTTAAAAAATAAAAAATATTGATACCCATAACTTATTTAAGAAATAAATTTCAATTCAAGTCCATGTATTCTATTTCCATCGATTCGGACTTATTTATTGTCAACAACATTATTATTGAATTGTATAATATATTCTCGTACATACCTACGTTTTTTATATTTAATCTTATTGTTTATATTTTTTTTATCAGGAATGACAAAAAACAATTATTATTTTATTACATACTTAAACTACTATCTTATTAATTCTACTTAGGTTTGCTAATCGAACAGTATTGCTTCTGAAAGGCAAGGTTTGCAACTATACATTTCTTGTAATAATATTTACAACTATGTAAATTCTGTGCATAGCGAGTAGTCAATGCGTTATTGAATAATTCGTTACATTAATCAGTTAATTATACAAACATATTAATACATACAGAGAATTGTTTTAGATAAATTTGGGATATGGCGAGTGTGAAATTTTGAAAAGGTTCAAGTAGAAGAAGACCAGAAAGCTATAATTTTTATCGATATGTGTTATAAATTTAGAAATAAATTGACTACAGAAAACCTGGAATGGTTCTCGTCATATCTCTGTCGGCGTCGAAGTAGCCTCATCAAGTTGGCGTGAACTTGACTGCGGTGTCTGAGGGACAGGCAGCATTCTCTCTCCTTTATTATTCTCAATATTAATCAGTCTCATCACTCCGAATTTTCGGTGCGTACCAACTCGATGCCTATGACTTGCGGCTCTATTATCAAGCCTCGACAGACGACATAAACGAGGGTATTTTATGGTTAAAAATGGCTTGGAGGCTATTAACGGTTGGGCTTATAGGTTCAGTTTGGCTTCAAATCCAGCGAAGTGCGCATCCATCATCATCCCAATCTTGGATTATGGTGATCTAAGCTACTATGACCAAAATGCAGATCTCCTCAATAAATTTGACCGCGGGCGGCCTTATTGCTAAATGCAATTTCTTCCAGGCAACCTTAGGATGGATCAAAAGTTGCAGAGAGACAGTAGTAGTTGAATATCTGCATTTGTGAACCTACTATTTGTTTATTATTATCTACTATACATATTACATATACTACACATATTATATTAACTACAAACATTTTCAATTTTTATACTTACATCTACAATGCATATCACAATAAATAAACCTACATATATATAAGTACCTACATACTATACCAGCAAATATACATATACACATACATATATATATACGCATTCTTAAATGAATAAACATATAGAAAAGAGAAACAGTTTCGTTACACCCTCGAGCGTGATGGACTCAATTAAGGTGAATAAAATTCCTGTACCATTTTCTTGAATCTATTTAATGTTTGCGCCTGCCTGATGTAAGCGGCAGTGCATTCCACAAGCGCACAGCTTCAACAGTGAAGGATTGATCATAAAATTTGGTGGATGCATTAAGTCCTCCATAAAGCATAAAGAATTAAATAAATAATAAACCTACCTGTACAAAGTACGAGTAGAACAGTTTTGATCGAACTTTATGGTCGACGACGACAGATATTACAAAAATATTACCACCAATCGCTGTGAGTTTCGCTTCTTTTAAATTTCTAAGCTTGTTTTTTCAATATGCGCAAAAATAATTGACAAATGTATTTAAATCATTTCTCTTAATTAAAAACCTGTAGCTCTCACCTACACCTATTATTTTGGAAAGTAAAGATTTGTTATTTAAATTATATTGTTATTAAAATTTAAACAGAGCAAAACTTTCTTACTCTAGAATACATGCTCTATGCTCTAGAATAAATGGGACGGTACGGCTCGAAACAGTCTGTTAAACAAATTAAAGACGTTGAAATATATCATATAAAGATAAGGTACACATGCATGTAGGTATCTTGGTAGGTAATTTAGGCAATCGTTGTTCATTGAGGCAGAAATTTAAAGAAATAAATATAATGACAGTGGCAAGTCAATATATTTATGAAAATGTAATATATGTTCACAAAAATAAAGATAGCTTTTTGAAAAAAAGTGATGTACATGCCATAAATACCAGAAATAAAAATAAATTTGTTGTACCCGCCTCTAGGCTCCAAAAGATAAACAAGTCTTTTCGAGGTCAGTGTGTCCGATTTTATAATAAAATCCCAAATAATATTCAGGAGTTGAGTGTTAACAAATTTAAATCCGCAATAAAACGTGGCTTGTGCCAGAGGGCCTACTACTCGATTGTGGATTACATGGAGGACAAGAATGCTTGGGATTAATTAGCGCAGGCTATTTCTTTCTTAAGTAAAAATGTGGTGTGGCTAGTATGTTTTTTATTATTTTTTCTATTTTTTATGTTTCACTTCATTTTCTCTTGTATTCGTTTGTTCTTCTTAATCTTGTTTTCTCTTCGTTGTTTTTTCACCTTTAAGTCCTTAATAACGGACATACTAGCACACATCAAAACAATGTTGTGATATATTTAATAGTGCCATTGTATCTACTTGTGAATTGCAAAAGAGTGGCCATGAGTTTGTTTGCCCTTTCTTCTCATAAGGCTCAACCCCTTGGAAACGGGCGGTTGTAGATCGGCACAGGCATAGATTTTGTATGGGTTTGATTTTGTTAAATTTATTTGGTTACTATTTGACAAAACAGAGATTGTTGCTTTTGTGTGTGTTGATCTATGACTTTAGAGTCTACATGGAAGACGATTTCAAACAATTTTGAAAATTTTATGAAATAAAGAAAGTTTGAGTTGAGTTGAGTTGAGTTGTAAATTGTTCGTAAAGTTACGAATATATACATGTACATAATACAAATACTTCGATAACACCTACATTCGTGTAGTTCTATATACCTTTTAACAAAAAAGGCAAAACGATGTGACACTTAACCATTATTACTGCCTATCTATAAATAAAGATGGCATGAACTTAAGTATTGACGTAATTATCTGTAATTATGAAAAAACATTTTGTTATCTTTATCTACTTTATGAAGTAATAATAATATATACAGATATCTATATATTGGTTTGATATTTTTACATAAAGCAGAACAGACTGCCTCTGTCCGCTTTTTGACCTTGTATCATTTTACAATTTTGATCCATTTTATTGCTATCGCAACATGAATTAAACCTTTCAAGTACTGTTTTCTTTACTTCCTGCTTAACCGCAGTAAAAGTTGTGATAACCAGTCATTTTTTAAATCTAAAGTCACTTGTACCGCAAAATAGAAGAAAATTTGGTTAAAACCTGCCACCTTTTTACTTTCCGAAGAACGATTGTGAGAGGTGTGCGTATAAAATTAATTAATTCAAATTCAGATTCAAAATCCAGTAACTAAAGTCAGTCAGTGTACCATACGCGGTATCAAGTGAGTGGCGTCTATTAACGTTATTTTGCACAATGTTACATTTACATGGATTTGCATGTATTTGAGGATGTAGACATTTGCAACGCTACAAAATCCAACTCAATATTGATTCGTACCATATCTTCGGTTCTTTCTTATAATACTCGGCATTCTTCTTGGGCACCGTATCATCAGAAGGACCCTCCTGAGACAGGTTAACAAGCGACTTTTTAATGCCAAATCTGAAGAATGCTATGTAAGGAAAGTATCTCATCAAAAACAAGCTAAACTTAAAGTTCAAATTGAAGTACAGTCGGCCAATATATGAGGTGTAGAAGTACATGTACAGATGGAATAAAAACAGTTTAAATTTTGCTACTAAGCTGAGTGCTTTATAAGCGGGAGCCGTTTCTATAGTTTCATAATCTTTGTAGTACAAGAGTCGTGGTGGCAGGTCGGGGAGCCCTTGAACTGCCGCAGGTCTCATTAATTCTTTCGTGTCTACACCTGAGGAATAAAAAATAGAATATTAATATTTATAGGTGGGTACACTACGGTTAAGAAACAAAGTTCAATAGTCTACAGGAGACACCCATAAGTAAGAACTTCTCTTATTTAAATAGAGTGACATCTAATGTCATGAAATGGTTAGACGGGCTTTAGACGACGACGCGTCGCCAGACTATGTGATAGTATATGCGACGACGCGTATACTATCGATGCGGCGCTCACGATGATTAGTTATTTACGTAATTTTGTACTCATTATTTCTACGAAATAGTTTCGATGGTTCATATCTGCCAGACGACCAACTACGGCTCAATTTTTTTAAAACATTCAAAGACATTCAAATGTTTGAATTGCCATAACCCTGAGTTTCTAAGTGAGATTTTAGTGTAATACTCGATTATTGCTAATACTTTACAGATGTTTTGAGAAAAGGCTTGTAGTGCAGATGCCATAGCGACGTACGTTAGTGTTACAGAAGGAACTCGACGTAAACAGACTGTTCGGTGCAATTTCTAAGAAAATGTAGAACATTTAGTTATTTTTTAACATTAAAACATTGGATTAAAATTCGATAGCCTTATCATCGGATAATGCTTTTAAGATGTTGAACTACTATTTGGGTGCAACCCTAATAAAATCTGTCACACTTAAAATTGTAAGTTTAAAAACGGCAGTTTAGTCTTTGATTTCTCCAGAACACAAAATCATTAGTTTTCTAATAAAAAAAGATTGTGCATAAAACTCGCCTGTATCAATAGATTTTCCTTTTAAGCATTTCTTGAGACTCAACTGGAGTTTAATCCTGTCACTTTCTGTGTAAATATAGCCGGGAACTCCGGTAAAATGCCGGCACATGTACAGAAAACCATCCGTTTCGACAGTGGGGTTGACAGACCATAAACCGTCGAGCATCACTCTGGATAAATGTTCGAAGTATTCCGGCACGTTTTCCAAACATGGAATGAATACCCGATCTTGTAGTACCTGACACACTTCTACAGTTTCATAGAAAGTTGGTCGACAGATGTTATATCTGAAATATAACAATTATTATTTACAATATCTTAATTTGACAACTTTAATTGAAAATAATAAAATAACTGAATTAAGCTGAGTACTATATTTTTTACAAAAAAGTATAGTATTATAGTATTCTGTTATTTTCAGTTTTATTTTATCCCGTAGCAGAAATTGATAATTGCAATTTAAAAAAAAAACAATTAAAATTGTATGGTAAGTATAGACCTAACCATAAATAGCAATTCTATTGCACCTAAATCTACTTATTTTAATTACCAATCGTACTTTCGTTGCCACGTTAAGTGAGGCTATACGCCAATTGAGAATATGTTATGCGCATTGTATGTAAACATGACAGTCATTTTTAAACAACCGGAAAATCGCAAACAATATGTATTTTATGTATTTGTACAAATAACTCTTATTTTATAAATTTCTACTACCCCATGTCTTTCTACAAAAAAAGTAATTTTGGAAATCACTATTTGTATTTCTAAGTGCCTAAAACTATTCAATGAATGATTATGAATAAGTGGACTTCCTATAGTAGTACCCGTCTACCAAATAAGCTATGTGAAAAACACATGCTCTCATATTTAATCATAGAATTGGTAACACTAACGCATAGGACGTAAAACGTATTTAAACATAACACACGCATGTAACTTACCTATCTTCCAGCCCGATCATATGTCCTATTGTCCTCCAGAAGTAATTGTAGGCATCCCAATCACCTTCCCTAAGCTGCCGGACGCCGAGATTGTCAGGCCTTAGCATGGAGTAACCAATAAAGCCAAATTGTGTGAGGGCAATGTCCCTCTGTGATAGCACGCCAGTTCCTTTCAGTTTACTCGCCATGCCTGCTTGCAAATGCCATCTGCGCACTGAGTACAACGACTTCCAGGATCTGTTAATAATTTTTAAGTTCTATTAAGAATAATTTAATAATTAATACGTTTTTTTTTAAATTTTATAACGTGTAATATATGTTTTAAAATGTAATTATTATGTGTGTATAAAATATATAAAGAGAATAATAATAACTTTACACATCTTATAAAGAACGAATCTTCGTGCTCATCACACAATTATTTGTTCTGGGTGGGAATTGAACCCACGACCTCCGGCTTAGCAGTCAGTGTTACTAAGCACTAGACAAACAGGCCCGCCAACATTACTAAGTTTAGTCACAGGGCTCGTGGGTACATTTATTCTTTTTAACCGACTTAAAAAAAGGAGGAAGGCCTCAATTCGACGGTTTTTTTTTAATTCATTAGTTTTCTGCGTCATTTAGCTCCTGCAGAAATAACATTCACCGTTGTTAAGTCTTTCGGGAAGAAAAGAAGTTTGTGACTAAATTTAATACTTTTGTTAATAAATTAAAGCTCTTTCTAAGTAGCAAGTGTTTCCTCAGCGTAAAAGAGTATTTGGAAGATAAATAATATACTTGATGAAAGAATGAAATCCTCTTTTCTTTCTTTTCCTAATTATGTAACATATTTATGACTACTAAAATAATTATAATTAATCGATCAAATAATTAAAATAAATATACACTATTAAATCAATATTAAAATTTTAAAGAAATATAACAAATATAATATCAATAATGATTATATTTTATTTTTAAAGTTTTTTTTCAAAGATTACAATGTTGCGGGTAATGACGGAGAAGCAAAAAGTGCGAAGAACCACCCTCGTACTTCTAGTACTTAGTTCTAGTTGAAGGAATGTGACGCTGACCTGCTCGAGCCCTTGCATCATCATGATCATCATCATCATCATCATAGTCCAGTGCTGGGCGTGAGCCTCTCCTTAGAAATAAGGTTTTGGCCTCCTATTTATGATATGAGCCGTTGAGTAAATTACTCAATCCATCTATATACATAATATACATTTCCTACTATTGTGCCTATTATTGTCATAGCTACTTTTCCTTCTCGTCTTAGCTACTTTTCCTTTCATACTAAACTCCTAATTTTTGACCGACTTAAAAAAAGGAGGAGGTTCTCAGTTGGTCTAAATCTTTTTCTTTTTAATGTATGTTCAACGACTACTCGAAGTTGCCTGAACTGGTTTGGTTTTTTTTTTTTTAAAGGGTATTCTTTTAAATTTTATTGAAATCTGTCGAGCGGTTTGCCGGTTGTTGGTTTGTTGAAAAATAAAAAAATATCTAAAAATTGTATACATCGATGATATTGATATTTACTTCGACACCTTATTATCTCATTAATTTAGTTGGCCAGTCTATATTATCCATAAATAAACAAAATACATCTACTTCCACTAAAAATTAAAATAAATTATTCTAAAGTGACTGATTGGCGGCTATTATTACTTTCTTCACAAAAGGTTAAAATAATAGTTAGGTATATCACTGTTATATGTGATATTTTATCGACAGGTTTCATATTGTTTTTAAAGTTTTACTTTATTTAATTTTATATATGTGTGACTGTGTGTGATTTTATTAAAAAGAATATTATGTTCACACATTACTAGTACTATTGTGGACCCCTCCACTGGTCGGGACCTCGAAGCCACAAAAACCCATGGTAAATCCGACGCCTAAACCAAAGGCCACGACGACTGACGGAAAATAAAACAATAATTGTGTTAAGTTTCATGACAACACATTTGCCATTGTATACAATAAAATTATCTACGTTAATCTTTTAACAACAGTGCATACTTACACGCTACCGGGCTTCAGTTCATGCTCGAACCAGGATACAGTATGAAGAAGCGTCGCGAGATAGCGCTTGTATGCTGTATATACGGAGTTAGAGCGCCGGGTACCCATCAGTATTTTCAGGATAGAGGGTATGGAAAACACTGCCACTAAACCAATCAACATCGAAGAAGATAAGGAGAAGCAGTGTTCCATATAGAACTGCCGACCTCTGAATAGAGAATATAAAACAATTGGATGAGAAAAATTCGCTATCAGTATTGTTCAAAGTAAGATTTGGTGATGGTTGGATCTTTACCGATGTTAACTGAATACCAATGCCCATTGACACCTTTTTTTTTTGACAACTGCCGCGCTAGGAATATATCCTGTGTCGCGGGAGACTCTACAAACATGCATGAAACGGACACAAAGAACACCCAGACTCAGAACGATAAGTGTCGTCCCATTTGGGGATCGAACCCAGGACACTCAGCGTAGTAGTAAGAGGCGTAGTAAAAAAAAAAGAATAATAGAGCCGGCCCGAATGTGCAAAATAATTTCTCTCCCACGAATAAAATTCAAAACTTTTAATCTATTTGGACCATTAACTTAGTTGTGATATTGCTGGCGGATTTGAAGCGACTTAAGTTAGACCTCTGACAGCTTAACTAATAACACAAACAGTTGAAATTTTGCATTGATATTCTACGAGTACCTACACGTATCGATACAACTGTGTTGTCGAGTCTTAAGAGCTCCGGATATCTTCTTTAGTAGCTTTATTGTTAGGCCTTACCTTCAGGTTATTTTATATTTTTTTATTAATATAAATTTTTCTAAGTCAAGAACAGATTTTCACATTACATTTCAACATTTGTTTTGCTAGGTATGGAACTAGAAAACACAGAGTATGAGCATATAACATGAAATCTCTTATCCTCCTATCAATAACATCAATAACAAATAGCACCTAGTTAAAGCGAATAGACAAACAGACATTTGTCGCGCTATATTGTGTGTTAATTGAATATGTTTGTGAATACTCTATAATTTTACTTATAGTCGTTCCTATTCTGATAATTGATGATAAAAGGCAGAAATGATGTCGCTGCAATTTTCAGTTTGTTCAAAGAGCATGACCACAATAATGATAGCACTGTGACACGCCTTTAAGCTAGTTCCGCTACACCATTACTATTAAAGTATACAGCCCTCAATGGCGATGAGTCGGCAAATAAAAGTATTGTTCTATAATGTTCCAAAAAATATATTAGAAAAGATATATATATATTTTTAATTACTTCGAATGAATCATTAAAAACTAAATCAAATACGAAAAAAAAAATTTGTGCCTTAAACCGACCCTAACCACAGTGTTCCGATATCGGGTCTTATGTTATGTCCGGCGGCTCAGATGTGGCCCTAGAAAGGAAAACACACCTGCTGATAAAGGTCCACCTCTGGTGGAACACGTCGCGTCTTCGTCTTTTTTATAATTTATGTAACAACTAGTTTTTTAGGTCTTTATACTACAATAGTTAAATACATCATAAAAATTAAATCGTCATGAGTTAATTTTACATGTTATGACAAATTAATCATATAATAACAAACATAAAATTGTATTGCCAGAACGATGGTTCTGGCAATAAAATTATTTACCTATTATAAGATGTGATGACATCTACCTAAATATAACTAGCACCCATCTAATAATTGCAAAAAAAACTAGCATGTCATTGACTACAGTCGCGTCCAAAAGTAATTTATTTAATAAATTGTACAGCGAACTACATCGAATGTGTTAAAATGAATATTACTTAAACAACAACCGTAGAATGTAACGTGGTGGAGGATGTTCGACATTCGCTCATGGTTTGTGTCAGAAATAAAAATGAAAGGGAAAGCTAATCAATTCATTTAAATTAAACATATTAGACATGGCGTTGGTACAAACTTTTGGCACAACCAAAATCAAGTGGCTACAAGACTTAGGTAGTCAATTAGTTTACTTCATTGATTAGTGTTTCTCTTCTCTTCTTCTCTTTTTAGAATGTTTTGAATGTAGATAGCATAAGGCGCAATGGGGTTGACGTATTCATGTGGATAAAAACCCCAATACAAAAAAAAGTAAAAATAAAAACAACCGTAGAAGAGCCTTGCTTCAGTACAAATGGGCCGGCTCGACCGGAGTGATACCACTTACAATGAAGCGGTGTTAAGCTATTCTTTCGTTGATTTTCACAAAGTTAGTAAAGTTACCTGAACCTATAACCCCCTCCCCTCTATTTTTTTTTGGTGCGGAACTCCCCTCGGATATCAGTGGGATGGTTATGTCGGACTCGAACCGACCAAGAAGCGCACGCCGTCTCCAGGTACCAGTAGCCAGGAAAGCAGGTATACCCTAGAAAGGAAAGCCCTGGTACCCCCTGAGCTCCTCCTGATTCTGGAGATTAAGAGGGCGACAACGCATTTGTGACTGATGACTTACAGGTGTCCTCGGTAGTCACTTGTCATAAGGTTACCCGCCTCCTCGTTTATCCCCTACACCTTAAAAAGAAACAACATATTTAATAAGCATAATAACACATTATGAACAAGAATCATAAAGCTCACTGGTTAAATTTGTTTTCATCAAAATCCTTTGGTAGTTCAATGACTAATTCTTCAGGTTTTACATTGTCACAAGGCTGCTCCTCCGCTTCCTTTGTTAAAAGTTGCTCCACAAATTCTTCCGCTAGAAAATAAAATAAAATTATATTGCAATAAATTAGTCTGTACATGTTGTTATGAGTACTCGTTAAAATTCTTAAGACACGAGAAAGAACTACAGTTTAGAACTCTGTTTTTCAGCATGTTGTTCTAATTAATGGACGATGAAATAATGATACAGACAAATGATGAATTTGTGATCTGTGGATTGAAGCCTGACTCAAACGTCTATTCGACCCAAATCTTAAGACCGGACCATTAAGAGCCGGGAACCGTGACGGTGACTAAAAATAAACAGTTTGTCTATGCGACGCAAATTATTTATAAAATGGACGAAATATATGCGTGACCTTGCTATCAAACATTATTTTTACTTCTCTTTTTTATAAACAGCATAAAGATGTTTCAAAAATGAAATATCTTTAGTATGGTATGCAAGTAGGAGTAAGTATTAAGCATAGAGGAAATCCGAGCATTTCAAGGATTTGTAATGTGAAGTCGTAAAAAGTGTTTGTGTGCTTACATTGCAAACGCTCTCTAAATCTTACGGGATAGATCAAACTAATGTACTACAGAATTGTATATCTTAAAAAGATCTACAAAAAAGTCCGCGATGTCTAGCTCCTAAAGATAAACCACAGTAACCATTTTTATCTGTTACATATTACAAAAAAAATGGTATATAATTACGAAGCTGTTTTGAACAATTTTTTTTTATTTATTTTTTAAAGGGAACTCCCGCATTAGAAATATGTCATGTGTCGTAAGGGGCTTTACAAACATACATGAAACAGCAACAAAGAACACCGAGACTCAGAACAAAAATTTGTGGATCACAATAAAGTTTCGTCCCATGTGGGGATCGGACCCACAACACTCAGCGCAGTAGGAAGCGGCGTGGCGACCATTTAAACCACTTCGCCATCCGTGCAGTCACTACTAACAATAGCATTATTCCTTATCCAATTAAATACCTATCACCAGTTCAAAATTAATCCAGTCCATCCAAAGGTTGCCAGGAAGAAATTGCTCTAAGCGATAAGGCCGCCCTTTCACATTACATCTGTTGTTCTTTTAATTACTTTAGTACCTGGACGACTGGTATTTTCTTTTGGTAAATTTCCTAAAAATGAAACCTAGCTAGATCGATTAATCGCCCCCGACACCCTTTGCATACTAAATTTCATGAAAATCGTTGGAGCCGGTTCCGAGATTCAGATTATATATTATGTACAAGAATTGCTCGTTTAAAGATATTAGATAATGTCTGTAAAACCCTGGTGTACCAATACATTATTATCTATCTATCTACGTTAGGTACGTTTTCATTTAATGTCGATCAAAATTGCCTTTTACAGCATATCATTAAAATGAATATCTTAGTAGATATCAGAAATTTAAAATGCGGGGATAAAGCGGCCATCGCCGCATCGGGCCGTCGGGCTGTACGTTTGTCCCGAGTGGCAGCGACCGGCAGGAGCCAAATGGGCTTATAAATGTTGCATAAAAAGATGTGCTGTATTATAATCTTATCATAATAATAGAATAATTAATTACTCCACACTGACACTACATTACTAGTCTTATTAGTATCTACAAGCCGGGGCGGATCGCAGGTTATACATACGTATGTAAACCAGCCTCTTAAATCAGTCTCTCTATTGGTGAAAACCGCATTAAAGCCTAGTTTGAAAGATCTAAGCGTACAAGAAAAAAAACTACCTCATTTTATACTATTTATAATATTAGTAAGTATACTTTTTATTTATAATGTTCTTGTTAATTTCTCGAGCTAGGTCATGTCGGTAGTGAACTGGGTGGAGATCGAACTGGAAACGTTTTGATCTAATGCCTTAGCCAATACTATGTTTCTATAGCAGCTTATTTAAATTTACAATAGATTTTGATCAATGTAATGCACCTGTAGGGCGTTTTATTAAAAAAAGGTTTGGGAACAATGGCTAAGAACAATCACGATTGGTTGGACTTATCAGTGAGTTTGTAAACATTGCAGGAAACAATATGCACTTCGATGTCTACTTTCACAGCCACCACACCCGACAACGTTTTTAACATAATTTAACATGACCTTTTATAAGGTGTTTCTGTGTTTGTTTGCGACTTTAACAAGCTGTTCTGGAGACTGGGTAAGTACACCTATATCTTTGTTGCGAAAATTGCGTCACAAGTTATCAGGCATAAGAGTTATGCAGATTTTTTTATTAGATCCTATTAATAAAAGAGCAATTCCTTTTCAAATATAAATGTTTTTATTTAATAAACGTTGTATGAAATAAAAACCATTTACCTTGTACCTTGATCACCTTGCGGCTTTCAACCACAACTGCGTATAATGTAATGCGACATTTAGACATACAATTTCAATTTAGTAGAATAGAATATGCTTCAATAAATTGTGTTCCCTATGTTCCCAATTTGCAAATAACTATAATCTAATGTTATAAAACTTTCAACAGATTTCAGACTGGATGAGTCCGCTGCAAAATGAATTGTAAGTTCCATTCTAGATTATCGATATTCATTTATTCACAAAATAATTGGCGATGTTCATAATAAGTATAAACACTAAGAAAAAACTTAAACTCGTTTTGCCAACGACTAGACAACATAAAGTAAGCAAGTCTTTTCGATGTCAATGTTCGGGTGTGCGATTCTACAATAAAATTCTGAGCAAATTTCATGAATTAAGTATTAACAAATTTGAGTCTGTAGTAAAACAAAAACTATGTGAAAAGGTTTACTACACTCCCGCATTAACGTTCCTATCATGTTGTTATGTTTGAAAGTGATGGACATTTACTATATGGTTGTACTTCGTTTGTTTTCATTTTGTTTATTTTTTCGTTGAATTTGAATTGTTAAGTATATTTTTTGTGCAAGTATGTAAATGTGAGTATAGTGTAATTTAAGTATAGTGGCTTTTAATGCTAGTTCATATTTTTAGCAACTTCCTGGTAGTTTTGAGTGTTTCCACGGCCTATTTAAATGTTACAACAGACTCAAAACTATGGTCCTTTCTTCAAAAGGCCAACCCACCCTATACTGCACTCACATAAGTCTATTTAAACTCAAACTTAAAATATCTTTATTTCATAAAAAAAATGTTTGATATCGTCTTTTATGTAAACTCCAAAGTCGTAGATCCATTCTCACAATAGCAACACTATCTGTTTTTTCAAATAGTTAGCAAAATAAATTATACTTGTACAAAATCTATGATATGCGTGTGCCGATCTACAAACGCCGGTTTCCAAGGGGTTGAGACTCATGAGAAGAAAGGCCAACAAACTCACGGCCACTCTTTTTAATCAACAGATAATAGCATTATTAAATTTACACAACATTGTTTTGATGTGTGCCAGTATGTCTGTTATTAAGGACTAAAAGGTAAAAAGACAATAAAGAGAAAAATAAGATTAAGAAAAAAGATAGAAAAAAAACAACCTAGCCCATTACATTTCCACTTAAGAAATAGCCTACGCTCAATAAATTCCAAGCATTTTTGTCTTCTATGTGATCATTAATTGAATAATAGGCTTTCTGACATAAATTACGTTTTATTGCGGATTTAAATATGTTTTTTGTTGTTTAACATTGTCCAAGGACTAAAAAAAAGGCACCTCTGTGGTTTGTTTCGGCATTTCTTCCCAGATTGAGTCTTAAAAAATTTCGCGCTTTCTAGCGCTTTCTAGCTGTAAAAATATCTGAAAAGATTTACTTACAGAAATAAATATCATTTATATTTAAATCATAATCTATACTAATATTATAAAGCTGAAGAGTTTGTTTGTTTGTTTGTTTGTTTGTTTGTTTGAACGCGCTAATCTCAGGAACTACTGGTCCGATTTGAAAAATTATTTCAGTGTTAGATAGCCCATTTATCGTTGAAGGCTATAGGCTATATATCATCACGCTAAGACCAATAGGAGCGGAGCACCAATGAAGAATGTTTCGAAAACGGAGAAAATTTATTACTATTGAGAGACGCAGACGAAGTTGCGCGGGTCAGCTAGTGGTATATAAAAATCTGTAAAAATTCTGTCTACATGTAAGTAAGCCAGGCACGCGGTATTCTGTTCTTGCCCCTTAAAACAGTGCGGTCAACCGGAAAACCCGCTCCGAAACGCGCTCTCCGAAACTCATGTCATATTTTAGATAAGGCAAGGCTAATACGAATAATACGAATACTTACTACTTTCGTTATTAAATACTTATACTTACATAATTTTCTTTGAATATGAATGTCTAAGTAACTAAAATTTAACATTTCGCATCGTAGTTATGTAATGAAATAAGCAGTCTATACTATCTAAACAAAGTCACGGGTGACAATGAAATACAAAATATATGTTCACATCCAAATTCATTGTATTCTATTTTAAAGTAACTAAACATAATACGCTTAGATACTCCAATACCTGTCGACTGCTCAGGTGCTCAACGCGGTGCTCAACGCGAATTCCATTTTAAATCATTCATCGACACAAAACGAGTCGCTGGAAGTTCTCATTTGAGTTTTCAGTTTTTGCAGAAAATTGAAAACCTTCCACACTTGTCGAGTGCTAGTGTTTTATATTCAAACTATCGTTTAATATGTTACGAAATGAAATACGAATTTAAGCGACGGCATTGACTGGAAGCATATTTCAGCCAACACTTCCTTTCCTTCAGTGATTTTAAGTTAAGACTACGTTTACATACGCAATGCGCGTATGAATGTGGACGAACAAACAAATCACTTAGGCACAATAAATTCAACTTGCATTTCCAAATTTAAGACTATTTATTTGGTGATATTTTTATACATTGTAAAATCGTAAACATAGAGGACAGTTGTGCCGCGTGTGTGCGACAAAAGAAATTGAGGCAATCTTACGAATCAGGTTTTTAAATGATTTTTCCCGTTACTTTCTCGACAAAATGTGGCACCACTGTTTTTAAATTATGTTTATTAAGCATAACAATTAACTATATTAACAATAGTTTGAAACCCCCCCCCCCCCC